TGTAGCATAATTCTTAAGGGCTTTAGGATTTTCAGAATGGTAAATGAACATTAGCATCAATTTAAATCGCTAGCGGTATTAGTCAGTCAGCAACTCTCAACAAGAGAGTCAGCATATTTTTTGAAACTTTGAAGCCAGGCATGAACTTCACCTCTCTGGTTGCAAAAGTCCTAGATGGCATCTTCCAATATAAAGCTGTTTCATCTACATTGAAAATCTGTTGTTTAATGTAGCCACCTTCATCAATGTTATCTAGATCTCTTAGATAACTTGCTGCAGCTTCTACAGCAGCATTTGCGAATTCACCTTGTACTCTTATGTAATGGAGTAGCTTCTTTCCTCATACCTCATAAACCAACCTCTGCTAGCCACCGACTTCTGCATTTTCCTCACCTCTCTCAGCCTTCATAGAATTGAGGAGAGTTAGGGACTTGCTCTGGTGATTAGAATGGCTTAAGGGAATGTTGTGGCTGATTTGATCTTCTATCCAGACCACTAAAATGTTCTCCATATCAGCAATAAGGCTCTTTTGCTTTCTTATTATTTGTGTGTTTACTGGAGTAGCACCTTTAATTTCCTTCGAGATATATTTCTTTGCATTCACAACTTGGCTGACTGGTATAAGAGGCCTAGCTTTCAGACTGTCTTTTGACATGCCCTCTTCACTAAGCTTAATCATTTCTAGCTTTCTATTTAAAAAGAGATGTAGGCCAGGCACAGTGGCTAAGGCAGGAGGATTGCTTGAACTCAGGAGGTGGAGGTTGTAGAGATCATGTGACTGTACTCCATCCTGGATGACAGAGCAAGACCCTGTCTCAAAATAAAATGAGAGATGTGCAATTCTTCTTTTTGTTTGAGCATGTAGAAGCGATAGTAAGATTATTCATTGACCTAATTTCAATACTGTTGTGTCTCAGAGAATAGGGGGCCTGAGGAGAGGGAGAGAAGTGGGGGAATGGCTGGTCAGTGGAGCAGTCAGAACATATACAACACTTATAAATTGTTCGCTGTCTTACATGGATGTGGTTTGTGATGCCACAAAACAATTACAATAGTTACAGCAAATATCACCAATCACAGATCACCATAACAGATATAATAATCATGGCAAAGTTTGAAATATTTTGAGAATTAGCAAGATGTGACACAGAGATACAAAATGAGCACATGCTGTTGGAAAATTGGTACTGATAGACTTGCTTGATGCCATATGCCTTCAATTTTTAAAGACACAATACCTAGAAAGTTCAATAAAGTGAAGTGCAATAAGATGAGGTATGCCTGTAAATATTTTAGGCTTTCCAGACCATATGGTTTCTGTTGCAGCTACTCACCTCTGCCATTATAGCATGAAAGCAGCCATAGAAAATACACATAAATGAGGCCGGGTGCAGTGGCTCAGGCCTTTAAGCCCAGCATTTTGGGAGGCTGAGGTGGATGGATCCCTTGAGGTCAGAAATTCAAGACCAGCTTGGCCAACATGGCAAAACCCTGTCTCTACTAAAAATACAAAAGTTAGCCAGGTATGGTGATGCATGCCTGTAGTTCCAGATAATAAGGAGGCTGAGGCAGGAGAATCGCTTGACCCCCGGAGGGGGAGGTTACAGTGAGCCAAGATTGTGCTACTGCACTCCAGCCTGGGCCACAGAGCAAAATTCTGTCTCTTAAAAGCAAGGAAAAGAAAATACACATAAATGAATGTGTGTGGCTGTGTTCCAATAACTATATTTATCCTCGTGCTGTAGCTTGCCAACTCTTGCTTTACACTGTCAGTTACCTTCTAAAGAGATTAAAAATCATAATATCTATTATGTTTATTCATATCCTGGTGCTGTTTCTTCTTTCCTTATGTAGAATCAAATTTCATTCTGGTATCGTATTTCTTCTTATGAAATAATTTCCTTTAATATTTTTATAGAACAGGTCTAATAGCAATGAATTATGTCAGTTTTTGTCTGAAAAAGTGTTTCATTTTTGAAATGTACTTTTGCAAGTATATAAAGCCATGTTGGTTAACTTCTTTTTTCTTCAACACTTTAATGAAGTCACTCAGTTATCTTCTGGCTTGTATAGTTTCTCTGGCTGCCTTCAAGATTTTTTTTTTTGTCTTAATTTTTAGCAGTGTGATGTGTCTAGAAGTGATTTTCTTTGTATTTATCCTTTTGGGGGCCTCTTAATTTCTTTAGTCCTTTTTTCGTTTTTTTAAAGATCAGTTTTGGTCTGTCTCCTCAAATGGGCTGAAAAAGAAAAGAAGAAAAAACATAGTTTAAAAATTAATTTTAGAAAATTTCAGCCATCATTTCTTCAAATATTTATCCTACTCTATGCTCCCCTCCTCCCCTTTTCTCTCTGCCACTCAAATTACAGGTATATTTAACCTTTTTATTGGTTCATGGCTCCTGGATGCTCTGCTTTCTTAGTTTTTGTCTTTCATTTTGGATAATTTCTATTGACCTATCTTCAAGTTCACTGATTCTTTTCTCAGCCGTGTCTAGTGTGCTCAACACCTGTTGAAGAAATTATTTTTCTTTAAGATCATGTTTTTAAATTCTAGCATTTTCATTTAACTCTTTGTTCTGGTTTTCATCTCTCTGCTGACTTTTTTTTTTTTTTTTTTAAGAAGGAGTCAGGCTCTGTCACCCAGGCTGGAGTGTAAGTGGCACAATCTCAGCTCACTGCAACCTCTGCCAACCCCATTTCAAGCGATTCTCCTGCCTTAGCCTCCCGAGTAGCTGGGATTACAGGTGGCCATCACCATGCCTGGCTGATTTTTGTAATTTTTTAGTGGAACCGGGGTTTCACCATATTGGCTAGGCTGGTATCAAACTCCTGACCTTAGGTGATCCACCTGCCTTGGCCTCCCAAAGTGCACTGCACCCAGCTCTGCTGACATTTTTTTATCTTTTGATGCATTTTGTCTACCTTTTCCTTTTATCTTTTGATGCATTTTATCTACTTTATCCTTTAACATGTTAGTCATAGTTACTTTAAATTCCTTGTCTGATAAGTTCTAACATTCAAGTCTTGGTCTGTTAATAACTTTGTGAGTCTGTTAACAGCATTTTTTCTTTCTTGTCTGTGTGTTTTGTATTTCTTGATTGTATACCAAATATTGTGTGTAAAATAGACTTAGGTAAGTAGTACTTCTATCCAGAAATAGGCACATTTTTTGTGTCCAGTCATTAGTGTGGAGGTTGAACTAGGTTTGGGTTTGTTGATGCTATACTTACAGTGCACCAAACTTCCAGTCACTGCAGGAGTGGGCTGCTGCTGCTTTGTGCTTCATGTGAGGTCTGAATTGCGGAAGAGTTTTTCCTTAGTGTTTCCCTCCATGCTCAGATTTCAGCAAGTCTTCACATCTGTGCCACAGGAAGAATCTAATTCATTCTCTTTTTGACCTCCCCTGGTGACTGACTGTTGCTTTTTATAGCTCATCATGGAGTAAGAGGGTGTTTTTTACTTTTCATCCTCCAGCCTCGGTCTTGGGCCCTGAGCTCCTAGAGTCCAGGGGTGGTTGAATCCAGGGATTTCTCAGTCATTCTGCCCCTTCCCCAGTAGTGGCAGATCTCTGCTTTGTATCAGTGCAAAATCCTGGCCTGAACTCATTTTCTGCCCTTCCTTGAGTGGCAGACAGCTCTCACTTTCACCCTTCTACCAAAGGCAGTGCATCTTTTCCTGGGCCTCTCCCCCAGCAACTTATGACTTTCCCTTCGGGTAGGAGAAGGGCTCATGTATCAGGGGATTCTGTGCCTGTGCGCCACCTGCAGAGTTTCTCAGTTCCCCTGCCCTGCCCCAATCTTTTCTGTGAACACCTAGTAGAGACCCATGGAAAAGAGCAAGGAAGCGAGTGTGGACTTCTCTTGTGTCTGTTGATTGCTTTGTTTCTAAACTGTTACTCTTGGACTTTAAGAATTTAAGACAATTTCAGCTGTTTTCTTTTTACCTGCTGGAATGGTTAATTTTCTGTGTCAACTTGACTGGGCCATGGGATGTCCAGATATCTAATTAAACATTATTTCTGGGTGTGTCTTTGAGGGTGTCTCCAGAAGGGGTTTGCATTTGAATTGGTGAACTAAGTAAAGCAAAGGTCCCTCCCTCCCTAGGAGGGGTAGGCATCATCTAGTCTGTTGAAGACATGAATAGGATAAAAGGCAGGGGAAGGTTGGAATTGCCCCCTCTCTGCTTGAGCTATCCTGCCCTTGGCACTCCTGGTTCTCAGGCCTTCAGACCTGGATTCCTTCGTCTCCACCTTGCACATGGCAGGTTGTGGGTCTTCTCAGTCTCCTCTCTAATAAGTCTCTCCACACACACACACACACAGACACACACACACACACACAATGTATCCTTCTGTTTCTCTGCAGAACCATATCTAATATCCCGCTTTTATGGCAATTACCTGTCCCTTCTGTATTCTGCCGAAACTGAAAACAGTTCATTTTTCCATCTCTCCTTAAGAAAGGCTCATCACCCATTAGTTCTCTGATAGGCTCAGGGAGTTATCCAATTTTTTTTTTTCTCACTGTTAGGATAAAATTGATATTCTGTTGAAGCTTTCTACACCTAAGTGGTAACTTGTTTTGTGGTTCTTTTCTGTACTTTTCCTAGAATTGGAACACTCTATCTAGTTAAGACAGATAAGCTGACTTGTGATACCTTAATGTTGTGTTGATTTATATTCTTAGAAAATAATCTGTCAACGTGTTGACTAATGGCAAAGCATTTAATAAATCAGCATTCATGTATTCAGGTGCTCTGAATTATCTGACTTAAATTCTTACTTTATAAATGAGAAAATTGGGGCATGGAAACATAAATTCTCCTAACCCCAAATTATTACATTATTAAGGACAGGACTTAGAGTCCAGATATCTTAAGTCAACAGTATTCTTTTGGCTCACAGAATTGGCAATATGATCTAAAGGTAATAACTAGGTGATTTTCTTTTATATGAATTAATGATGTCAATTTTCAAGTATTCACAAGTGCCTACTGTGCAGGGAAAGAATGCATGGCATACAAAAGATGTAGTCCAGACCTTTAAGAAACTTTCATTTAATGGGAATTCAAGAAGTGTACATATAAGAAGGTAAGTAGCAGTACGGTAAAAGACAATACATAAATATCAGTGAATGGTATTGCCTAAAGTGCTATTGATAGAGCAGTAATTCATTTCTGTAAACATCTGTTGATCTCCTACTGGAAACAGAGGAGGGAGAATAGGATGCCTCGTAGTCAGGATAGAAGAGAAAGACCTTGAGTTGAGCCTTGAACGATATTTAATATTCAAAGGGTTAAGGAGAGCAGTTGAAGAGGGGAGAATAGTTCCAGCATAAATGATGGTGTACAAGATGAACACAATCAGCAAAGAGCAGATTGGTCTGGATGAAGAGGGGGATTTGCATCATTTGGGATTACATCATTTATACCCTTGAAAGCCAGGATTGAGTAAAGCTGCAGTGAAGGGACTGGTTCATATGGAAGCTTTAATTTAAGAAGATTAATCTGATAGTGACATGTGCCAAAAACTGAATAGGTAGAAATGGGATGCAGAGAGCCCAGTTGGAACTGAGTCTGGTGTAGTAATGCAGGATTGAGGCAATAAATGGCAACCTACAGTATCACCAGATAATGGATGTTTGAATGGACGGTTTAGAGGAAAATTGATGGTATTTGGTAATTCACTAGATAATCGAGAGTCATGGAATTAGAGGGGAAAATGACTAAACATAGTCATCAAATGGTTTTTCTTAAAAACAATGAATCTGTATTTTGGTGTAGAGTAGCGTTTTCTTACACCTTATTGCCTAGTTGGTACAGTTGCCTATGATAATGACTCCCACCATGCTTGCTCCGAGTCCCCCACCAGCCAAACAGCTTCTTGAAAAGGACAATGCCTTTTCACTTCTCTCCAAGTGCTTGGCAAATGGGAGGCTTTCTGAAGTTAGTCTATAGTTAGGGGTTCCCAGTTAGTATTTGAAATATTAAATCATGCCAATGGTTGACAGTATGGGCTCTCATGTTAGAGATTCTCCTGGCCCTACTGTTCATCATCAGCTATTAACCTCAGGTAGGTTAATGGACTTTCCTGAGCCCCAGTTTACTCATTTATAAAGTGGGATTATTTATAATGTCTACTTCATAAAATTATGAAGCCTATGTTAGGTCACTCTAATAGTGTTTAGTATGATTCTTAGAACCTAGTAAACAGTCAGTAAACAGAAGCAAATACTGCATGCCTGATTTATAGCCAAGAGGAGAAAGGTCAATCTGGAATTTTCATGATTTATGGATTCAAATTATACATTTCAAAGATGCTTTATAAGCTATTGTTTTGGTAAGAAGAACTGAGCTGAAACAAAGAACTTTCTGACAGTAATGATTATTAAATGGTGAAATAGGCTTTGGTGCAAGTGAGAAAGACTTTAGAGGATATAGATGTTCACCTTGTGCATATTACGTGTACAAAAATTCACTAAGTAGATATGTTTATCTACAAAGAGAGAGCATTAAAGTTAGTAAACACCCCCCACCCCACCCCGCTTTTTTCTGAGACAGGGTCTCACTCTGTTGCCCGGGCTGGAGTGCAGTGGCATGATCATGGCTCACTGCAGCCTCAATATGCTGGGCTCAAGCGATCCTCTTGCTCAGCCTTCCTAGTAGCTGAGGTATGCACTACCACACCCAGCTAATTTTTAAATATTTTTTTGTAGAAGTGAGGTTTCACCACGTTGCCCAGGCTGGTCTCAAACTCCTGAGCTCAAGTGATCTGCTCACGTCAGTCTCCCAAAGTGCTGGGCTTACAGGCATGAGCCACTGCACCCAGCCAGTAAACCCCATTCATTTACACCATCTCATTTGTCTCTCCAACAATCCTGTAGGGTAGGTAGGATCTGTCTTTATTCGTTATTTAGGTGAAGAACTTGGAAGTGGTGTGAGGACTAGGTGTTTTGCCGAAAGTCACGCAGCTGGAGTGGCAGAGTTCTATACTTTTCTGATTCCACAATGCTATTTACATCACATCTGGAGAACAACGCCCTGAGGCACAGATGTTTAGTGGGAGGGATGAGACACAGGCTGCAATGCCAAAAAAGTAATTGGGAATAAAAGCAGAAAACAAGACATTTGTTTCTGTTAAAATGAGGCAGAAAATAAGGCGTTTGTGGTTTGGGATTGAGCATTTGGAGAAGTGGGGAGCGATTCGATTTGGGTGAAACTGCTCATGGAATGCTGTGTCTGGTTCTGGACAACTCATTACTAGGCTTATAGAAACCAGCTGGAGGAGGTTCAAAGAAAAGCTCCAACATGATTCATGGGATTGATTTATAAGAAATGTTAAAAGAATTAAATATGTATAGCTCTGCTAAGCAAAGATGAAAGAGAGACCAGCTAAATGGATACAAAAATCTAAAATGTGTAAACTTTAAAAAGAGGGATTAATTATTTAACATGATATACCAGGGTACAATATGCAGTAATAGTATGAAAATTTAGCTGACTATCCAGAAAAATTCCCCGATAATGAATCTGTTAGGGCTGTCTGTAGCATGGCCTTTCCCTGGAGAGGCAATAGAACTTTCAAGCCTTACGATTTTAAAACTTTCTTGGGAACTAGGTGTTAGATGATGTTAGAGACTTATTAATTCGGTCAGGTATGATAACAGTATTGTAGTTCTATAAGAAGAAATTTCATTTTTTAGAGTTACATACTCTGAAATAAGCCTAGAATATGATGTAAGAGATTTGGTTTAAAATACTACAGTAAGGAAATAAGGGAAAGAGGAAGAAAAGAAAGGAAGAGGAAGAAAGGGAAAAAGAAAGAGGGAAAAAAACAAGAGAAGGCAAGAGAAAGAAAAAAGACAAAGAAAGTAGGGTGGGCCCTGTGGCTCATCCCTACAATCCCAGCACTTTGGGAGGCCGAGGTGGGAGGATTTCTTAAGTCCAGGAGTTCAAGGCTCCCGTGAGCTGTGATTGTGCCACTGCACTCCAGCCTGGGTGACAGAGCGAAACCCTGTCTCTAAAAAAAGTAAGTTAAAAAGAAAGAAAAGGATAGATGAAGCAAGTGTGGCAAGATGTTGGTAATGTTGAATCTGAAGGAAGTTAATATGTGAGTTCACCTTCCTCTTCAATCTTCTTTATGTATGTTTGTCAACTTTCATAATAAAAAATTTAAATTACATTTTCCTGATCAAAACTTAGTAGCAATGTTAATCCCTGGGCTCCAGGACTAGAAAAGCCTCATTACCACCGGGGCAGAGTTCTGGCCAACCAGGGAGCACAATGGTTCACCATTTTGCTCTGGTAAGATAGTCTGGGCTGAAGGGCCCTTTCTAAAGTTGTAGATAGGAGTCCAGGAAACTTCATAGAACTGCAGACCTCTCAGGGTACCTGCAGGAAGTGGGTCTTCTAAGGTGAGAAAGCAGAGGGCAGAGGTCATGATTAGCAGTTGACCTCTTCTGCTCTTCTGTCTCTCATTCATGGAGAATACTGGACACTGAGTAGAGGTCTAGGTGTCTTTGGAATAGCAAAACCGTACTTTTCTTTTTCTTTCTTTTTTTTTTCTGTTGGAGACAGAGTCTTGCTCTGTTGCCAAGGCTGGAGTGCAATGGTGTGATCTCGGCTCACTGCAACCTTCACCTCCCAGGTTCAAGTGATTCTCCTTCCTCAGCCTCCCAAGTAACTGGGATTACAGGTGACCACCACCATGCCCAGCTAATTTTTGTAGTTTTAGTAGAGATAGGGTTTCACCATGTTGGCCAGACTGGTCTCAAACTCCTGGCCTCAAGTGATCCGCCTGCCTTGGCCTCTCAAAGTGCTGGGATTACAGGCATGAGCCACCACACCCAGCCACAAAACACAAAACTCTTCTTTTTCTGGAATGGAGAAACACTTTCCCCCATTTATTGAGTTTGGGAAGCAAGAAGAGGGGTAATTCATTAAGTGAAAGGTTCCAAAATCCAGAAAACATGGATAAAGCTGAGGCTTTATTTTTTTAAGGAAGAATTTGTAAAACTCTCTTCTTTTTAGCCTCTTTAGGAAGACCTCACATTCTTGCCTCGAATGTTGAGAGTGGGAAATCCAGGGAGGTTTTGAAATGCTTGCCCTATGTCTGCTTTTTTGTTTGTTAGAAAAATATAAATATTTTATCTGAATTTTGCCGATAGCAATCAAGGATGAACACAACCCCACTATTTGAGGATCTGTCATTTCTGAATTTCTCCAGCGTGCACAATGAGGCCAGCAAATGGCAGTAAGAGTGAGGTGGATTCTAGCTCAGTAGAAGGATGAACCTGGGACCATCGGCGCTGACTGAAAGTGAAGCAGTGGCTGCATTATGGGAAAGCCGGCTGGAGTCTCTCTCATAAGCAGACATTCTTTTTCTCCAGCCCATCACCGTGTTGGTTCAGGCCCACAGTAAGCCTCCTGGCCCCTAGGCTGGAACCCCCACCATCCTCCTCTGCCTTGCCTCCGGAGTGATTGTTCTGAACCACAACTGGGTGTCCTTCCCCTTCATGAACTCCTAGCAACTGTGGGGACTCCATCCCTGTGCTCACACCATGCCTCACACATAGACATTCCTAATGAAGATTTGATAGAATTCTTGTAACCTCAGTGCCTCCCACTCTACTCTTCCAGTTGCCTCTCTCTATGCCTTTGTACATACATTTATTTTATTATTTTTGAGACAGAGTTTTACTCTGTCACCCAGGCTGGAGTGCATTGGTACCAACTCAGCTCACCGCAACCTCCACCTCCTAGGCTCAAGCAATCTTCCCACCTCAGCCTCCCAAGTAGCTGGGACCACAGGTGCGTGACACCACGCTCAGTTAATTTTTTTGTAATTTTTGTAGAGATGGGTTTCACCATGTTGCCCAGGCTGGTCTTGAACTCCTGGACTCAGGCAATTCGACCACCTCCTTTGTACATACTTAACCTCTGCCTAGAGGGTGGGATTACAGGCATGAGCCACTGCACCCAGCCTCTTTTGTACATACTTAACCTCTGCCCAGAGGGTGGTTTTTTCACTTTGTCCACCCAGCGATATTTCAAGACCCAAGACTCACTTTATAGTGATAAAGCCTTTTCTTTTTTCCCCTAAGATATGGGGTCTTGTTATGTTGCCCAGGCTGGTCTCAAACTTCTGGCCTCAAGCAATCCTCCCGGCCTCCCAAAGTGTTAGGATTACAAGCATAAGCCACCATGCCTGGACCATAATGAAGTATTTTTTTGATGGCCCAATCAGAATAAATCCATCCACATATCAGTTGCCATGGCTCACCATGCCTTGGCTTGTTACTCTACCTAGCACTCATCTTTTTTTTTTTTTTTTTGAGACGGAGTCTCACTCTGTCACCCAGGCTGGAGTGCAGTAGTGTGATCTTAGCTCACTGCAACCTCCGCCTCCTGAGTTCAAACAGTTTTTTGTCTTAGCCTCCCAAGTAGCTGGGATTACAGGCACCCACCATCACACCCAGCCAATTTTTGTATCTTTAGTAGAGACAGGGTTTCACCATCTTTGCCAGGCTGGTCTTGAACTCCTGACCTCATGATCCACGTGCCTTGGCCTCCCAAAGTGCTGGGATTACAGGCGTGAGCCACTGCGCCCGGCCCCTAGCACTCATCCTAATCATACATTTACTTTGTCTTTCTGCCAGACTGCAGAGTCTGAGAGTAAATGCTATGTTTTCACCTTTATTTCCCCAGTTCGTGGCATATTGTGGGCACTTGCCATCATCAAATAAACCTCTGGATTATGATATTACAAACATGAAGATGATGAGCACTCAACAAGTATAAGTGAGTAAACAAAGGCTTTCATTCATATTTACTGACTTTCCTGACTCTGGTTCAAGGAGAGCATAGTCCACAGAACCAGAGACCTGGCTGCTTTGGAAGTTAGACTTTAGCCTACCCCTGGTCCTTGAATGGGGACACATTTCCCTTCATCCCTGTGTTTTAGGGACAGAAAGATGAGTAATGCCGTGATACATGCTGGAAATGTTTATTACACTACCCTAAGCTGCCTCTCAACTTTAACAATCCATGAAAGAAGCAAGTTGTTATATAACTTATTCTATTTTGTGAGGGCTTTGTTTATTTGTTTCCCGTTAAAAGAGAAGGTGGCATTGAATTGTTTGTTTGGTTTGGTTTCTTCTTCAATAAGAAGCATCTTAATATAACTAGTCTGGACATCTGTCCCATTTTCAAAAATTACAAGTTTCGATCATTGCTAAATTGTACAGATCCCAATCTGTCTGCTTTGCATACATTTGCATTTATAAAAGCAGAAGCTGACTAGCAGTCTTTCTAATGCAATCCCCTAAATGCATGAAGTATTAGATTGCTTCTCCCCATTGGTTCATGCATTGCTAAAGGCTTAAAAGGATCATTGACTTGAATTATTTAATGTGTACAGCAGGTTGAGTTTCCTTTCTTTTTTAAGAAAAGAACCTTCAGGGGCATTGCTTTAATTTTTTTAATGTTAAATCTCATTTTTCTTTGAAAATAAGAAGTTAAAGCTGTATTCACATAAGCTCCCAAAGTGCCAGATTTTCATTGTGTTTTTAAACCATCTAGGAAATGTTTGATTCTAATGAAACACTACTGCTGAAAATTGGGCTGAAATTGCTGGGCTGAAAATATTGTTATAACTTCATGTTATTCCAATGTTGTATTATTATTTTTTCTTTCTTTTTTTTTGAACTGATAAAGATGAAGCGAAGAGACAGGGAGCAATCCAATGGGTAATAAAAAAGGCAGCCTGGACTGTTGTTGCTGTTTTTGAAATTTAAGCTGGTTTTCAATTAAATGTAAATGGTCCAGGACTGTAAATGTTGAACATTTTTTACCATGTAATTTACATTTTAGCCTTACTTTTTTTTTTTTTTTTGATGGTTTACATTTTCCCCATGGAAAGCAGCTATGTCATGTGGGTACGATTCATGATGGTAACATCTGGGTGTATGGTTTTATTTTGGTTTGTATTATGTTCAGAAAGCAGGATGCCAGAAATAAAGAGTGGTTTGTAATGTCTAGTGTGTCTTCCTTTAACAAATCAAAGGCTCTTATTGAATCCACTTAATGAGACCCTGCAGAAATTTTAAAAATGAAAGTCCCATCCACATAAGGCAGTCCTATGATGTAAAAAGTTTAGGTGGGAGGAATTAATAGAGTGATCACATAATTTATCAGCTAAAAGGAGACACTTTTATTTTGAGACCAAGTCTCATTCTGTTGCCCAGACTGGAGTGCAGTGGCATGATCTCCGCTCACTGCAACCTCCGCCTCCCGGGTTCACGTGATTCTTGTGTCTCAGTCTCCTGAGTAGCTGGGACTACAGCTACTCAGTATTTTAGTAGAGATGGGGTTTCACCATGTTGGCCAGGCTAGTCTCTAACTCCTGACCTCAGGTGATCCGCCCGCCTTGACCTCCCAAAATGCCGGGATTACAGGCGTGAGCCACTCTGCCGGGCCCCGAGACACTTTTGAGAGTGAAGAGGGAACATGAAAATAATTCTTTGATCTACAACATTGATCAGAGCAAGCCAGATGCCATTACAACTAGCTAGAAAGCTTGCCAAGGTCTCATTTACATTGGTATATAGCAAATTCTTCTGTGAATTCTGGAAATTCTGGTAAGTCATTGAGGTAGCTCTGTGCCAAGGAACAGTCTGGTAGAATTCTAACATTTCAGGCAGTAAAACACTTTCCTGCATTTGTAGCAGGTAAAGGGAGGTTAGGGCAGAAGACAAAACCATTGGGACTTGACAAAGGGCATAAATGTCTAATGGTAAACCTGATGTAGCTAATAGTAAATTGTCATCAGCTAAAGATCTTTCATAATAAATAAACATCATTTGTAGGAGGGCACAGATACTGTGGAAAGCTGGGATTCAGGTTGCCTGTGGCTTTAATTCCAGAGTCAGAAATATTAGTCAAGGATATCAGTACATGAAATAAGTTTTCAGTGTTATATGGCACAAGATGAGGCTGTCCTATTTTCACTTCCAGTAATTCCTTCTGAATTAATATACCTTAAAAATAGCTGCAGCTTCTCAAATCTGTGAGAATCATATGTGCTGCTTGCTACACGTTCCTTTTTCCTGAAGGTCTCTTTGAGGTCTTTCAAGAACTCAGTTCAAATCAGCAATAATTAGGGGGTCTAAGGTATACAGACACTGTGCAAGGTGACCCTGAGACAAAGAGGAGGGCAAACCCCTGCCCTCAGGCACCTCTCTGTAATATAGGAGAAAGAAAAGAAACGCTAATACAACGCTACAGAGGTAGATGCCATTGAAAGGGTACATACACCAGCCTGGCCAAGATGTTAAAACCCCTCTCTACTAAAAATACAAAAATTAGCTGGGTGCAGTGGCACACACCTGTAATCCCAGCTACTTGGGAGGCCGAGGCAGGAGAATCATTTGATCCCGGGAGGCGGAAGTTTCGGTGAGCTGAGATCATGCCATTGCACTCCAGCCTGGGTGACAGAGTGAGACTTTGTCTCAAAAAGAAAAAAAAGTATATACATTAAAGGCAGGTGGTAGGTATATTTGTAACATTAGAATTTTCTACATGTTTGAAATATTAAGTTTTAAAAACTAAAAAAGGGAGATACATATATATTTATGTATGTGTGTACATATACACACACATATATACATATGCATGTATATATTTGTATTTTATATATCTGTGAGACTTTAGAGGACCGAGAAATCACACCTGGCTATGAGGATCTGTGATGGTTTTATCTGCCATTTTCTGCAACATACCTCTTTCCCTTTGCAACCCAGCTTCCCTAAAAACTATCTCATAAAGAGTCCTCTTTTCCCTGCACCTATGCAATAGTAAGCAGAAAAACACACATTCTTTTGGGTCCCCAGAACATTCCCTGTAGTTTGCCCTTAACAGCCTTTGTTGTGAAATGTATTCTTTCTGTCTGAACCTTGTCTGTCTTCCGTACATGGAGTTTTGGCTCCCGGCTCCCGGCTCCCGGTCTGCCTCCTCACCCCCTCCCTTGCCAAAAGAATCCGGTGTGTGACCACTGCTCCTCTTTTCCACTGCCACAACTCCAGTACAAGCCACAAAGCTCTCTCGCCTGGACTTCTGCGGGGAGTTCCTTTCTCTCTGCATGAGTTGATTCTCCGCACACCTGGCAGAGGCAAGTGAGACTGCGGAAGAGGCAGGTTTGCAAGTCCACAGGAAACGAAGACTCTGCTGTGCACATGCCGGGTATGAGGGGTGCCGGATATCCGAGGGATGACTGTGGAGGTGAGCCCGAGGCTTAAGGGAGAGATAGGGGCTGATGATCTGCGATTCATCAGTGTGTGGCTGATGTTTAAACCCAGGGGACAGGATAAGATGGTTATTCCAGGGAGAACGTAAAGAAGTTAAATGGCTTCTGGGTCCTTAGTCATTCAAAATTGGGCCTCCGAGTCAGGAGGAAAGACCAGAAATAGTAGATTCCTGGGACTCAATACTTTAAAGGGATAAAGACTTTAAAAAAGCCGGGACCGGCCACTGCTGCTGAGGGAAGTAGGACCGAAACAGAAGAGTAATCACTGGACCTGGAGAACCTGAATTTGTTGGTAACCTGAAAAAGAGCAATTTTAGATACCATTTGAAATTATTTGCAAGATCTGTTTGGTATATACATTATTCCAGGCAAAGGGCACAGAAAAATAAAAAATACTTATTACTGCAGATACTGCATGCCTGGCACTGTAGCACCCTGTTTAATTCTCACAGCAACGCTATAGAGTAGATGCCATCATCCCCATCCTACAGATGAGGGCTTGAGGTGCAGATGCGTTAAGCAGTTTGCCTCAGGTTACACCAGCTGGTTAACATAGAGCTAGGATTTAAACTCAGATGGGCTGATCCCAGAGGCCATGCTTTAAATCACTAGACTGGTACTCACAGAAGACTGTGACCAAAAAAATGAATAAAAATATAGGGAGCCCCTTGGGCTAGCAAATTAGGAGTTGTTTAGATAGATGTGAAAAGGAAAGTGAGGGAGAGGGAGAGTCATTGTACAGAAGACAGGGAGACCCATGACAGCAGAGACAGTGAGCTGTAAAGTGGCTGGTGATCTAGCCCTTGAAAATACCTTCAGAGAGGCCCAGCATGGTGGGCATGCCTGTAATTCCAGCACTTTGGGAGGCTGAGGTGGGCAGATCACCTGAGGTCAGGAGTTCGAGACCAGCCTGACCAACATGGCAAAATCTCTTCTCTACCAAAAATACAAAAATTAGTCGGGCGTGGTGGCGGGCGCCTGTAATCCCAACTACTCAGGAGGCTGAGTCAGGAGAATCTCTTAAACCCGGGAATTAGAGGTTGCAGTGAGCTGAGATCACACCACTGCACTCCAGCCTGGGTGGCAGAGCAACGCTCTGTCTAAAAAAAAAAAAAAGAAAGAAAATACCTTCAGAGAGCCACATCTCTTAAACCTTCTGAGAAATTCACATCCCTTTTGATGAACACAAATGCTTTACACTCTCATTGTTATTAGTAATCCAAGTTATCAATACACCTAAATCACTTAGCACTGAATCTGGCATATAGTAATCACCTAATGAAGAGATAAGAGTCATGGAGTATTCTGCAGCAATTAGAATCAATAGACTCACTATATACATAGCAACAAAGTTGGATCTTAAAAACCGATTTGAGTGAAAAAGGAAAGGGTAAGATATGTAACACAGTACCATTATGTAGATTGATAATATAGGCTCACACAATTTGTAAGAACACATAATAAATACATGTACATTAAACACATTGAACAGTTACCTATGGGGTGGTGGCGGGAGTGTTGGGTAAGTCAGCAAGCTGGAATGGAACATGAATAAATACGTGAAGCAGAAGTAGGCATTAGAAAGAGTAACAATAAAAATGTGCATGAACTGAGGAGTGTAATTAATCAACTCACTGCATCTGATGTTAAAAATAGAAAGATAATAATTGTTATTATTACTCCTAGATCTTGCGCTTGCTTTCACTTTTAGAATGTCGGACTGTCCTTCAGATGGCACCCTCCTTGCACTTGCTCAGGCAGGGGAGCTTTTTCCTCCAGCTTTCTAGGTGATTTAACATATCAGAAAATAAGTATAAAAAAGGGCACGGTGCTCCCTGGGTAGCCTTTCTGGACTTCAGAGCTAAATTGCAAAGTCAGTTTTACACATGTGATTTCATCTATGTAATTAGGGCAAGGTAGGAAACTGACACAAAAAATATGTGATTTCTTATGGTGTTACTATCCCTTGCAAGCGGAGAGTCAGTTGCCCTTTTTTGTCCACTGATTGAAGGCAAGATGCGCTGAAAGCAGCTGTGACCACGTCTGCAAAAGCACACTCCGGCCCCTTGGCTGCAGGCGCCCTGCACATTCTCCATCTGCATGTCCGGTGGTGACACAGTGCATAATTGCAGCGCCTTTGTGGTATAAACTCTCTCACTTAGCTCCGTCAGTGCTGGCACAGCAGAAAAGAAGAAATCAAAAATATTTGGGTTTGAAAGGTAACAAGAAGCTGGAAAACAACCACTGGCCGAGCCTGAGAGTTTCAGCGGAGACGGGTGCAGCCTCGTGTTTTTCCACTGACAGCTGAAAATGAGCCCAGCTTCAGCTTGTTTCCTTCCTTCCGCAAGGTTACCCGCAATTCTCTGTTCTTTCAGGAAAGCAAGAAAATGAATTTGGGATTGTTGTTCTTTTATCTATTATAGGATTGATAATATGTTCCTCCACCAAGTGTTCTGCTTGAAACAATACTCACTTCCTGACCCTACTGTATATGCAGGAGTATTACTATCAAGGTAAACACAGAATTGGCTGCCCAATTTCAAATCCCCAAACTGAGTGAGAGAAATCGGAATTATAATGGGGGATTCCTTGGAGGTGGATCCCGATGTGCCGATGGTCAGAGAGCTTGCTCATCATACGCAGGGGCTGCTGCAGCAGCGGCTTACTGCTGCCTTTCTTGGCCTTTACTCCTTTTCTCAGCTCAATTGCCTTTCTTCTCTCTGGCAGTCACG